ATCGTTGACCTGAGCGACGCCGAGCTCATAGTTCTCGGGTCTATGGGCGAAAGTGAGCCCCTTCGTGATTACACATGTCCATCTCCCACTCATATTGCCTGCCTTGTAGACGTTGCTCCGGGTGTCAAACGTATCGTCGACAAAGTGAACTCCTACCCAGATCAGCTAAGCAGTAAGTCTCTCCGAATCTTCTTTTTTTTGCGCGTTTACTCACACCTTCAGCCGTGACCTGCTTCATGGTTGTCGGACTGTCTCAAGCGCAAGTACCCGGTGAAGGCTCCCCCACAAGACGCTCCTCAGCCGCCCTCCTCTCACGAGACCCTCTCCTCGGAGCTTGGCAACGACTCGAACGCCCGCACCGTCGTCGGCCCCGACCTAATGAGATGAATTTCTGGTACCATGGCATCTCTGGCAACCCTCCCAAGTTCCGATCTGGAGACCAACCCCTTCCCCATTCCCCCGCTTGGAACCAACTTCTTCAAGATCCCCACCAAGACTGCCCACGGCGTATTCAACATGCCGCTCAAGGACGTGTGGGGCGACACCGTCGCTCCTCGGATCCTGGCGTTGATGATGGCCCACGGCATCAAGTACTCTGCGCTAGAGACGGCTTCTCGATCATCGAGGACGGCAAGGACGAAACTCTCAGCCCCATCGTTGTGTGGATCGCCGTTCGTCCCAATACCACCAACGCCGGGGCCGTGAGCGATGCCACGCTCGAGTGGTACGAGGCGTCGGTCAGGCTGTCCGACCCGCCTCCGCCTCTGCGCAGATCGGCGACCGCGTTGTGGAGTCGGAGACATTTACGGGTGAGGAATTACAAGACATGTGGATGTTGGGAGCAGTGCTTGCAAGGTAAGCTTTCACCCAACAATTTAAAAGACTGGCATTTAGGACATGGCCGGAGTCAGATGTACGGAGTCAAACTACCTCTTCAAAGTGCCCAAGGGCCTCGCACCGGGGCCGGAATATGCCTCTCAAGTGTGCTGCACGAACTATACTTCCAGTTTGCACGGCTCGCGTGGGTTTGGAAGGTTTACTCTGAGGAGATCCAGCCTCTGCATCCGAGTCTTACGGAGCGTTAATGCGCGAATGAGTAACGTCGGAAAGCCATTCAAACTTGTAGTTGACGCACAGACGTTGTAGACAGTCGGTTCATTTTTGTAAGCAGCCAGTACTATCCATCATCTTCTTATCTTGTCTTGATCGTCGACCGTGAATCGCGGTTCGGGACACCGCCGAGTCGCTTCTCACGGGGCCATAATAGACGCCCTGGAGTGAAAGCGCTCTACGATGAACCCCCAGCAAGCATGGGCAAACCCCTGGGGCCAGCCCCAGCCCCAGCAGCCATATTATCCGCCGCCTCCAGCCCAGTTTGGCCCACCGCAGCATCCAGCGTATGGAGGAGCATACTGGGGCCAGGCGGGCTGGGCTCCACCGACTGCAACCAACGCAGGTACGTCTTATCTTATGATGTGGGTGCAATGTAATTCATGGGATGCAGCATACTCTGCCAAATATCCGACACTGAACCCGGTGCTGGCGTCTGATTCGACCCAAGTCCGATACGACGTCCGCAAGAAGGCCCGTGCCGAACTGCCGCCCCAGACCTATGCCCCGAACCGTCTGCTGTTTGCCACGTCCAGCTCGGCGAGCCACATTCGACTCATCAGCAAAGCCTTCCCATGGTCCATCGACATAACGTCGAGCACACCCGTAACCTGTGAGGCCGTCTGGGATGCGCTTTATACGGCCCTGCAACAACACATTGCCGACTCGGAGTGGGGAATCATCATCGGCGACAAGAAACTGCGCGAGACGATTGAGCGCGCGTGGAGAAAACGACAGGAGAGCGACGGGGACACCAAGGTGAAGCGCATCGACTGGCTGGGAAGCAGCACGGTGTTCAAGGGCTTGGATAAAATGGAAGAGTTCACCGAGATGAGGCTGCTCCCTGGTGCAGAGCCATGCGCGGAGACATGGGTCGTAAAGCTCGGTACTGCGTAGGATTGGTTTTTTTAAGGGATTGGTGGTAGATTGTATCCTGTTGTACTGACTGACTGACTTGTATTCACGACCGTTTGCTCATGAGCTCGAATTCAAAAAGCCGACATCAATAAATTTTCTTCGACCCACCGTTCATGGTCTCGTTCTCGTCCGTCTTCCTCCCCACCTCCGCCTCACCCCCTCACCTTGACCATCCAGCTGCCACGCTTGCCAAGACACCGTAAAGAAACCCAAGCTCGACGCGCACTACAACAAGTGCTATTCCGGGTTCGACTGCATCGACTGCGCAAAGTCCTTCCACTCGCCTGCCGAGTTCCGCCAGCACACGTCCTGTATCAGCGAGGCGGAAAAGTACGAGAAGAGCATGTATCGCGGGCCAAGGGTGTGTCTGCTTTCTTTCCTTGAGCGATTTTTTTTGCTGATGATGATGCATACGTAGACTGGCAGCGGGTTCAACCGAGGTGGGTATGGTGGCGGACGTGGCGGCCGAGGCGGTGGGCCTTCTTGGATTCGTACGCCGGCAACAGGCCCGAACGAGACGCCTTTGGGGACACCGAATAGGATGTCGCCCGTAACAACACCGGCGGCAGCCGTCCCAGAAGTGCCTGCTGCTCCTGTGGTCGCTAAGGAGGAAAAGAAAAAAGAGAAGAAGGAGCGCAAAGACAAGGTATGCTTCATAGTCCAACCGCGCGCACTTGCATTTATTTATTTATGCGACTATGTAGACCTCCTCCGCCGCCAAGCCACAATCTGCCGACGAACCCTCCAAAAAATCAACCAAAAAGCGGAAACGCGACGAGTCCGACGTTGCTGCCGTTCCTGTGTTACTCGTAGAGAAGAAACAGAAGAAAGACAAGAAGGAGAAAAAAGCGACGGCGCCGGAAGAGGCACCGACGGAGGTGGACGCGGCGGCGGCGGAAAAGGCAGAGAAGAAGAGGCGGAAAAAAGAGTTGAAGGCGAAGGAGAAGGCTGGGGCGACAGTCGAGGACGTATCGGAGGATGGGAGGAAGGAGAACGAGGCACAGGTCACCGAGGCGACGAAAAAGGCCAAGCGGAAGAAGGACGCCGACAAAATGGATGTCGATGGCGCCCCGCCAGAACACAAGTCCAAGAAGGATAAGAAAGCCAAGACTGAGGCGGAAGAGGTGCCAAAAAAGAAAAAGAAATCAAAGTCGACCGAAGCGGTCGTATGATTTCGTGTTCTATCCATCTTATCTTGTTTTAGTCGTGCACTACATGCTATCTTCAGCCGAAAAAGCATACAGCATGTTTGTGTTCTTCTAGGTAAATCACAGTCAGTCATTTGTACAGATACAGTATCGCTTGGTCTCTGTCTGGTGGGTATATATTCCGGCAGCTCGCAGTCACATCGACGTCGTGGAGTCGACTTCAATCGTCGGGACGATGGACGCGATGAACTTGAGGAATACGATGAGATAAAAGTCGACGCGCATGCCCTCGACCTCCTCGTCCTCGGCAGCCCCTGGCGTCAGAGCGTCCTTGCCGCTCCCGCTCGTTTTGCGGCCGAACCACTTCTTCTTTCCGCCGTCTTTGGAGGATTTGCGCTGTGCGAGCTGCTCTTCCACAACACTGTTGTTCATGCGCTCGATAACCTTCTTCATGACGCTCGCGTGCTTGCACGGATGCACAGACGCGGCTTGTAGCGAGGCGGAATGCGGGAACGGCTCGATGGTCACCGTCTTGAATGCATGGTCGGCCGAGATGTCTTGGAAGATTTGCGGCGGAGTCAATGGTGTGCGATTCTACGGTGACGCGTCATGAGGCCAGTAAGCGGACATTAACGATAACGGACCTCATCGTAGCCGATCAACCAGATGCGCGGGGTTTGGTAGTACTTGTCGTAGGTTATCATGACATCGTACGTCCGCACCTGTAGCAGATTACCGTTCGCGACCTCTACCTGGCTAAAAGGAGCATTATAAATTGGGAAATAAAGACGAGTCGGGGGGGATACGATACCTCACGGCAACCTTGGTTGGCGCAGCGGCAGCATCGTCCTCCTCGAGCCCCTCTTCCTCCATATCCGGTATATCGTCAATATCAGGTGTGACGTCTGCGACGACGGCATGGGCAACGGACTCGTGTTGTGCGCCATCGAGGTCGGGAATGTCGTCGATGTTGCCCGGGTTGCTCGCTTCTGTGCTGATCTTGCGCCCAGCATGCGTCTCGACCCACTCGTCAGCACCCGTCGAGTCCCCAAAGTTAAGCAGTCGTTCCGCGTCCTCGTCGGCGTCCGTGTACGCAAGCGCAGTCGCCCGACGCAGGCAGGGTACCCCGCGAGTCACAAGGTACTGTTTGTCCGCCGGCAGATAGTCTTTAGCTTTGGATGCATCACCGCCCTCCCTGCCAGTGTGAATACGGAGCATTTAGTGGGGCGAGGGGACGAACCAGCTCCAGACGGGGAACTTGTACGCGAGGAAATCGCCTGCTGCGACAAACTCCTCTATGCAGGCGTTTGAATCAGAGGATCCGGATGCTCGCAGTCAGGCGCACCGGGATTTATACGTCCGTGCTCCTTGAACTTGCTTTCTTTGAGAACCTGCGCAGGATGAGAAACTGGAGCAGCGCGCGCGGTTGCAGGGAGCAGCTCACGGGGCTGAGGTACTCGCGGACGGACCAATAGTGTTGCTGGTCGCGAAATGAGGATCGTCCGACGGAGATGAAATCGAACGCACCTGAAGCGCGTGCATATCGAGGATCGATACAGAGAGAGTGGTCACATGTCACGGCTACGGAACGGGATCAAAGGGAGAATTAGATCAAAGTTCTCACCCACATAGCGCCTCAACGGAGGCTCCGATTGCCTCAATTTTTTTGCGTACGGCTAGGGCCAGTATCTAGCCATGGAATGAAAACTTTCTCAGAGCACCGAATGTCAAAACAAGGTATATAACTGCGATTTAGTTGATTCAACTTGATTTGGCTCCTGCTCGCTTTCTAGAAAAGCTTTAAGCAAAATTTGCAGTTCTCCAAGGCCGATGGTGTAGTTGGTTATCACTTCTGTCTAACATTTTCGGGCCGAACCGGTCCGCTATGTGCACAGGCGGTCCTCAGTTCGAACCTGGGTCGGCTCATTTTGGTTCAAACGCCTCATTTTGTTCGAATGCCAGCCATAGAGAAAGACGCCGCCATCCTGCCATGAATATGGTGCCATGCAGGAAACACTGAAGACATGCAGCAAGTAAACAGGGCCAGGCAGGCACAAGGTATGGTACAAGAGGTTAGACTACAAGTAGCCGGACCATGCCGCAGGAGCTGTGGGACACTGGACAAGATGATGGACTTCCAGACACAATGAGCAACAACTCTGGACTATTTTTCACAGACGCGAATGGGCCGGAATGGCTAGCCAGAACACAACACCTGCACTCCAGCTTCACCAAACCACCCCATCTCTGGCCATCTTGAGCATTAACCTGCTCGAGATTACACAAACGACGCCGACACGAACAAGCTAACTGTTGAATACTTCCGAAACCGACTGCATGTACAAGGAAATATCACTGCTCCGCACCACCTACAACCCTCGCTCCGTTGAACACCACGGTGTCTACCAGGGGAGGAACAAAATCTCTGATGTGTCAGTGCTGAAAACATCACAAACTCGAACAGACACTACAAACTTACTGACTCATTACAAGATTTGCTCAAAACATCACAAACTTACTGAACACACAAAGTTGGACCAACCCTCACAAGCTAACTGACTTAGTATCAGATTTACTGACTTGCTAGTTAGAGCATCACAGACTCCAATGTGTAATCACAAAGCATGTAATTATTGGAATTTGTTGTCTGAACATCTGAAAACACTCGATGCTTGAGCACAGATCATTCAGGATCAGTTGAGCATTGAAGATTCATAATCTGCTGTGAAAGCAGAACATAGTCTATACCACACAGCCCCGTAAAGTAGTGACCTAGATAGTATAACTGGAAAGCTTTGATCAACACATCACATGGGACCAACAAACACAAGACACACCGGAACAAAGGACTCTCGCTTCCCATATCCCTAAACTCGGCCCTCCTGCTCTCATCGATCCCTTCGCGCTCGCAGTAGGCATCGCGCTTCTTGTTGATGCGGTTGTAATCCCACATCGTAAAGCAGCTTAGGAGGATGCTGTTTTTTTTATTAGAGAGAGCAGGGTAATCAAAGAGAGCGAGACATACGAGAGACCGAGCCATCCCATGATTGTGCCATGGCCAATGTGGAAGCGCGGTGGTTGGTAGTAGATGAACGAGGAGCAAATCCTGTGCTCATTTATTAAGACCGGACTGTTTATTTGCAAGAAACAAGGACATACCCGCCAAGGTTCCCAAGACCGATGACCATAGCAATGACAACACCTTTACGGACGTCGCCACCGGCCATGCTACCAGCCCATGCGAGGTTCACAGCGATCGTTGGATACACGCCGACTGCAGCCAAGATAGCGCCGACATAGGCAGCACCGGGCTTTGTTTGCGTGTAAAGCACGATATAGCTGGAAATGAGTCAGATGAAGAAGGGGCTGGAAATCGATCCAACTGACCCCACGAGGGCCACAAACGCTGGGCCAATTATGAATGGGCCTCTCAGATGGTATCTATCAGAGAGGAAGCCGATGGCGATCGTGGCAACACAACCACAGATGAAGGGCGGTACGGTCAGCAACTGGGCTTGAGCAGCGGTGAACCCAAGCTGCTGCACGATAGTGGGCGTGAAGAGCGCAATCGCGTACACTGGGATGAGGACCCCCATGTAGATGATGACTTGTATGTAGGAGCGAAAGTCCCCCAGTGCTTGCCAGACAAACTTGATGTCGTAGTGCGTGGCAAGGTCTTGCGTATCTTCCTTGAGCATCTGCACGATTTCCGCGCGTTCTTCTTCGGTGAGGAAAGACGCAGTTGCGGGGTACTGCAGAGAAGTGTTAGGGGGTACACGGAGAGAGAAGAAATCGAAGTGACCTACGTCGTACATGTAGAAATACGACGCAAAAGCGACTGCATCCAGGGGGGTTAGTATCAGCACTGGTTGAATTGCTACGATATGCGTACCCAAGATGGTGGCTGCAGAGTAGTCAGACATGTTTGACCAGATTCAGAGTCTTACCGAGCCCTTCCAGGAGGAAGATCCATTGCCATCCATGGAGCTAGACGGTTGTGAGGACACGAGAGCCAAGGAAACCTTCCAGGACGTACACCGCCAATCCCCTCCATCTTTTCGATGCCAAACGCGAGGATACCACCGAAAGCACCTCCAAGGTTGTCAGTCATTGACGTGTGTGTATTGCATTCGCGTGCTTACCCGCGATCGTCGCAGCAGAGAAGAAGATGGCGACACGCGATGCAACATCCCGTCTACGGTACCACAAAGAGAGGTAGAACGTAATCTGGAGGCGCGATGAGCTTGAATCAAGGGGAGTCGGCACCGACTTACGCCTGGGAACAGTCCTGCCTCGGTAAGGCCGAGGAAGATACGAGCACTGCGATTGCATGAGCCAAGTATAGTTAATTGGGAGGCCAACTGACATGATGAGTTGATGATATGTGTTGCAGAGGCACATTAAGGTCATGACGAGCCCTAGAGATAGGTTTGAAAGCACAGCAGAGGGTTACAACACGAACGAACCCCATGCGAGCATGATCGACGGGACTGGAAGGACATAAGCGAATGAAATGCAGGAAAGAGTGAGTACGTACTCCATCGCGATGGTCGAACGAGCTTCAGAAGAATGTTCCTGCACGATTTGAGTGACCACTTCCTTGATGAGAATCCACTTACGAAGGGACTTCTGCAAACGCGTAAAGAATCTTCAGCAGACGTGAGAAGCGCAAATGACAGAAGCAACAGGACGCACGAAGAACACGGCGGCGATCTGACAGGTATGTGAGAAATGACCTGGCTCAGGAGCAGCCGACGTACGATGTTGTACCGAAACCCGACCAGATGGGCGTCTCGCGCCATGCCTGGCCGTTATTCAGCAACAATGCATGCGCCGGTTCTTGAATGGCAACGCACCAGCAACTTTAGCATTTCCCTGCAAAGAAAAAACAAGTGAGACATCGCGTCTGTTAAAAGTCGTCGAAGCAGTACTATGTTTGATCGGTCACTGCGGGCCACATAAGCTGCGTGCAACTCGGAAGAACAAGGCACCATACAGGAAGGACAGCAGGTAGAGCAGCGAGACGAAGGGGAGCAAGTGAACATCAAGCTTGCGGAGGATCCTGGCGCGCGCGGCAGGGTTGGGCTCGAGCGATTCGTTCGAAACGGCGACATCATGTTTCTCGGCCTCGTCGTAGGACGTCTTTTCGTTGGTGGTGGCAAGGGCGGACATCGCGGCAGGAGACAAGTCGCGGAGCTAAGAATGCTTTTAGTTTCATTTTTCGTTGTTTGCCGAGTCAGCTGTGAAAGGTGGGGTAGCCGATCAATGCCGATCGGTCACCTGTCCGAGAGATTCGGAGCCAAGTAGACATTGGTTATCTAGGAACCCCAAATGACCGTGCTTTCCCTCGAGCGCGCTTTGTACCCCCTCCTCTTGTACCACTCTGGCTCCGGCTCCTCTTCCCCGTACCCTTCGACGTCGACGATGCGCCCTTGGATGATGTGCCTGAGCTCGGGCAAGCTTCAAAACAGTCAGAGACCCAAGGAAAGAAATATGCTGAGATAATACCATTGGAGTAATGCCCCTCGACCCCGCATTTATAGCAGCTTCCAGAGCCGCCGCCGCCGCCGCCCGACGTGGACTTGGATCGTCCACCTCCACCACTCGGACATTCTGCGCGCTACTCAGCCAGATGCAGGAAAAGCAAGGCGGGAAGGTATACCATTGGAAAAATGACCATCCTGGCCACACTTGTAGCAACTCCCACTCGACGCTGACTTAGATCGACCACCGCCATCGCCTCCAGGGCAGTCTGTGTGAAATTTAGCCGCATGTATTACGAATAGAAAGTGGTCCAAACCGTTCGAATAGTGTCCCTCCTTCCCGCACCTGTAGCAACTCCCGTTCGCTGTAGACTTGGTCTTCCCGCCGCCGTTTCCGGCGCAATCTGCTTTAGACTCAGCGACAACGATAGATATGCAGAAACGGGTGGCCGACCGTTGGAATAATGACCGTCCTTCCCGCACTTGTAGCAGTTAACGCTCGGGGTTGACTGGGTTCTGCTTCTGCTCGAACTGCCTCCGGTCGGACAATCTACAGGAGACCATGTTAGAGGATTAGATAGCCGACATCCTGCTTTACCTAAACTTAGATGGCCTTCTTGGTTACACTTGTAGCAAACAGCCGAAAATCCACGATTCTGAGAGGTCGTTCCTCCGAAGGAGCGTGTTTTTGAGGCATCGCTGTTCGGACAAGCTGACGACATTTAATTGGGATTTAGTCAAACGAACAGCCACCTACCACTAGCCCAGTGTCCAGCTTCGTTGCACTTGAAGCAGACGTCGGACGGCGCTCCACCAAACGTTGAAGTAGACGACGATGCAGCGACGTTGTTCGCCCGCGGCGCCTCGTCGTCCCACTCAAAAAAGGCGCACTCTGAACCCTGAGCGTTTGCGCATTTCCAGAACTTGCGTCCCTTGTTATTGGACTCTTTGAGGACTGTTCGCTGAACAGCTGCAGACCCGCACTTGCACTGGCGTAAAGATGCGTCCTTCGGCGTTGCTGGGCGCTGAAACAACGTTTAACCCTAAAAGAAAAGAAGAGAAAAAGCAAATCTCACCTCGGAGAAAGAACGTTTTAGTGGCATTGTCGAGGCTGCAACTGGGCCGGCGTTGTCGTCGACCCATTGAAAGAACGTGCAAGCCCTGGTATCGCAGGTCCAGAATTTTCTGCCCTTGCTTTCGGACTCTTTCGTGACCGTCCGTTGCACGGCCGGGGCGTTGCATTTGCATCGTACGAGCTCTTGATCGTCGTTGGGGGGAGCGACGACGGGTCGTGTTGGCGCTTGTTTTACCGGAGGCGGCGGAGGCGCGGGAACGGTGGCTGCCCGGCGGATTTGTTGTGGAGGAGGCGGGCCATTGTTGAAGTCGTCCTCGTCGAGATCAGAAAATGAAGGACTCCGTGCGCGAGGTCCTGGTGCAGCACCC